TGATCATTGGAAAACAATTAGGTTAATATTTCAATTTAGCTATTTATGTTTTTACTTGAAATCAAACTTAATAATATTATATAGATAATTTTATTTGTGTATTTGATTAACAAGTAGTAACACTAGTCGATATTTATGATAATATTTTTAAATTATAATTTAATTTAAAAAATTATAAAAAATATATTTTTAAGAAAAGAGGGCTGACCCGTAGCCCACGCACTTGTGGACTGTGCCAGCCATTTTCTGGCCTACATAAAAAATGGGCTAGCCCGACCTGACCCGTCAAATTGCAAAGCCTGTATGGGTTAACCCGGATGGGGTGGACCAGCCCATATTGACGGCTCTATTAGTGACACATGTTTGTCATATTTAAAAATTTAAAGGTCTAAAATGTAATTTAATTTAACAAGCCTCTTAGCCATAGTTAAAAAATAAATTAGGGAGAAATTCACTAATTTTGGTATGAAAATCTCATCTTTCACTAATTTTGGCTCCTCATTAATATAATTAATTATTTTCATGATTTATGTTTTACATATCTATTAATATATTTTTCCTAATCTAAAGTTAAGAATTCTCTCAGTTTTTTTTTTATCTGACAAAATAAAATCATAGATAAAGATGTAATGAGATCAAACATGGGGTAAAAAAACAACAAAATAATTAAGAAAAAAGAAGGAACCAACTTTATTTTTAAACATAAATTTATTGTAAAACACTTTACAAATACAATTATACAATTTTGTTTCTCTCCATTTGTTTTTCATTTCTGGCATAAATTTATTCTTCAAGTACTTGTCTTTTTAATCAACAAAAAAATAATTTTAATTTTTTTCCTGTCAAAGATAGTTTACAAGATTTTATCAAAAGACAAATGAAAATATAACATTATATGTTAAAGTAATTTAGAAAGGGTGATATGAAATTTGTCTTTTTTAATACCAAATTTCTAGAGATTATCGAGTATTAATGTGTATTTTGTATCCTTTATGTTAAGGATATTCATGATTTCATTTGATTAAATTTTTAAAAAGAATTAAATCAAATTAATTATATAAAAGAAATCAAAAAGTTTGGTTAATGCTAGCTCCCCCATTTTCTCTCTCTCCCTCTCAGTACTTCAATAAAGTCCTCACTAATGAGTCATTCGTACTGGTGGTTATCAGAGAGAGTGCACAAGTCATCCCAAAGTTCTATCCTAGTACTGAAGTCAGGGTTCACATAAATAGCAGAAAGGGGGGGGGGGGGGGGGGGAGTTAGGGAGTACCTTGACTAAGACATGGATACCTTGGGGAGTGATGGAAATATTATTCATCTTAAGAGAGTCGTCCTCCCACATGATGCCTATTCCTCCAAACAGGTCATCCGCAGCGAACTGAATCTGAGAATCAAACCTTAACTCATCAGTAAGGTGCTTGTAATCCTTCATCTTGGTTTTAAGTAGGACTAGCATAGAGGGTTCGTGAGTTTTCACGAGCATATCACACAACCTTCTAAAGCTTGAGCTATTGGCTCATCTAGTGTTCCATATGATGAAATTCATTAGTGTCTTTGGTGTGGGTGGCTGATTCTGAAGGCCCTTTCCTTTCTCCACACGGGCTTGCCTTGCTTGCTCCTTCACTAGGTTTTGGGCTACAGGTGTCGTAACACCCTTTTCTCGTTTCTCAGGTTTCGCAAACACATACTGAGGTGTTTACGAAAGTAGGCTACTATCGCTGCACTGGTGAGGTTGGTAAACATTTTGAGCCATAATTTTTCCAAGACCATCACTTTTGTGTTTCGTCCCCAAGCATCACTAAGAGTTCCTCAAGTTCTTGGGTGTTTTTTCTTAATGCTTCCGGTGATGTGGGTTCCTCTCCTTCTTTGTTTTGATTTTGCATTCCTACTCTTTGTTCGCAGCTTGTGCTCTAGGGATACAATATTGGGTGCTCCAATGGCATCCAAGGGACGAATATTGGGCTTTGGGAGCTGGGGAGATATGGGAATGAGGGGAAGAAGGGCAAACTCTGAAAATTCTATCCCATAAAATTGTTGAGGTCGGGCATTGACAACATATTGATACTTTTCATGAGTTGGGTTTGTCTCAGCGTTTGTATCTAGATATGCGACCCCAGTCTCTCTATCTCATGATCCATACCCTCCTTGATTATTTGGACAAAGAAGGAAGGATCTTGGAGGATGAGGACTATAGAGATGTTGATCTTAGGCATATTTATATGCCTAGAAATCTAATAATGCCCATATTTAAGCTAAGTTTGAATTCAATATGTGTTTGTTTATAGTCTTATCAAGTCTTTTGTGTGTTTATGAGCTAACCAACATGATTAGTTGTGTAGGTGAGCGTAATTGGAGAAATGAGCTCGAAAATGGACAGTGGGGAACACAAAATATTCAAGGCAAAAAAAAGCAAGGATGAAAGAGGAAGAAAAGAATACCAAGGCAATGTCGTATCCTCTTCGCATCGCAGAGAGGGGGTCTTAAATTAATTCGCTAGAGTTGATATTAGGCAGAGCCCTCCGTGTACTCTCCGTGTCGAGGAGAGGGACTATAATTATGGTTGCGAAATTCAGTTTTGAGGCAGAGTGGTCCGTGGCAAGTCTGCGTCGCGGTGAAGAGAAAAGATTCGCAGAATGAAAGTTGAAGATGCCTCCGCGACGCACCCCTAGGTTCTAGTTTTGGCCGTTTCGACCTTTAGTATAAATAGGTCATTATTTTATTTTATTAAATATTCTTTTTCTGGGTTTTGAAGAACGACGACTTGGGAGAACGTTTTCACCATTTTTAGGGTTCTTTCCTAAACTCTTTTCTTTTTTATCTCTTTATGTTCATTAAACATTGTTTGATCGATTCTTGATTATGAGTAGCTAAATACCCTTGTTCTAGGGCTGTGGTTACAGGATGATTGTAATCTATTAAGTTTTCATTGGGTTAATGTCAATTATCATATGAATCTTTCTTATGTTCTTGCTTTCCGTATTTCGTGACTGATCACTATTGAAATAAATACCTTGTCCAAATTGAACTCGGGAGAGGAATAAGAGGATAGAACGTGGGACATAAGGAGCATGATTAATTCTAAATAACTACAGTTAATTTGTATCTAGGATAGGGATATACCTAGAAACCATGCTTGGGTCACCATACAGGAAGAAATCGTAATACTCGGTACTTAATTCATTCTATCCTCGCTAAACGATGTAGTTAGGGTGTTATTTATCGTAGGTGATTAAAGGTCGGGAGACCATGATCATACATTTAACCCTGTGATTCATTGATTCGATAGTTGATAATAACCCATATAAATGATATTGATTGCATGAATCCTGATAGAAGCTGCAACCCTGGACTTTACCTAATCATTATTTTTAAACCCTTGAAATTAAATCGTGTTTGTACATTTTATTACAATCTTAGTATTAGAAACTAAATCACTTTGGAAATCTTGAATACAGTTGTGTTTAGCTGAAAGTCAGAGAAATTGAGTGATTCTAAGCATAAGTCCCAATGGGTACGATACCCGGCAGTTAAAAAAAGCCACTTTAATACTTGAACGACCACGTGCAATTGTGTGTGCGATTTGGACGCAACAAGTTTTTGGTGCCGCTGCCGGGGAGTTTAGAATTAGGAATTATTTGATTTTTCTGATTTCTGAAGTTAAAAAGCAAGTGTTGACAACTTGATCTTAGCATTTCATTGTTGCAGGTTGTATTAGAACTTCAAACTGGACGACGATCAAGGATTGGTATCGCCTCTAGTTGAACCGAAAAGATTTGTTCACTACCGGAGAAGGCAAAGACGTCTTACTTATCCGGTCCCTCTGGTTGCTAGTGAACCAACATCTCTAGTAGCAAGAGTTGAGGAAGAGGAACCTGAAATAATGGCTGAGTTGAAAGTGAGAGACATGGCAATCCCACGTCCCACCAATGTGACATCATGCATTCAGAAACCTGAAGCTGGTGGAAGGTTTGAATTGAAGAAAAGTATAGTGCAATTATTGCACACTAATGGATAGTTCAATGGTCTGTCGCACGAGGATCTAACAATTCACATTCAGAATTTTCTCGAGATCAGTGATACGCACACTCCAACTTGAGTGAATGTGGATTATGTGAGGCTCACTTTATTCCCCTTTTCTGTGCTTGGGGAAACAAAAAGATGGTTAAACTCAGAGCTTGCGAACTCAATTACCACTTGGAATGATCTAGCACAGAAGTAAATTGACGTTGATGAGTTGCCCACATCATCATCAGTCTAATGAGGTGTTAGTCCATACCTTCATTGAAGGATTGGAGCCTAACACCAAAATTCTACTTGATTCAGCTGCAGGTGGTCAGGTTTTGGAGAAGACATATGCTGAACTATTCACCTTGCTGAACAAGATCTCGCAGGGAAACCCCGAATGGAATGGAGTAGGGGTGAAACCTGTGATTCAAAAAACTGCAGGTATGCTAGAGGTAGATGTTGTGACTGTCTTAACTCCACAGATTGCTGCTATGTAGAATATGATGAACACCCACTTCACCAATCTAGCATTGGGACAACAGTCCACACAGGTAAATGCAGTTCAACAACCACCATCTTGGTGTGTGATCTACGGAGGTGGTGACCATAGCGTAGAGGTATATGGTGCAAACCCAGATTCAGTTAATTTTGTAGAAAATGCACAACGAGGAGGAGGCAAGCAGAATTATGGGAACTCTTATAACCCAAGTTGGCGCAACCACCCGAACTTTTCTTGGGGTGGAAATCAAAATCAGGGTCAAGGCCAGAATGAATATAAACCCCAAGGAAATGCATAAGGGTACCAACCACAGGCCCAACGGGAGCAGCCGAATAAGCAATCTGGTAACATGAGCATGGAGGACATGCTGAAAAAGATCATAGCTGATCAAGCCTAGTTAGTTGCTGGTGTAAGGAATAACCAGTTGATTACACAAACTTTGGAGAAGCAATTCGGGCAGTTTTCTAGTGCCCAAAACTCACGACCGCAAGGAGGTATGCCGAGAAATACTGATCCAAATCCTAAGCAGGTAAATGTGGTAGGTACACGCAGTGGTTTACAATTGGAGGAGTAAGCTTCTAAGAAAAGAAACACTGACGCTGTGAGTAAAGAGAGTGAACCCAATGAGAGCGAAGTTGTTGCACAAGAAGAAAGAGTGCAACCAATTGTGAAACCACCTCTTCCATTCCCTCAAAAGTTCAAGAAATAGAAAGAGGATGAATGTTTTGGTAAGTTTCTCTCTTTTGAAACAAGTTCACTTTAACTTGCCATTGGTAGATGTTTTGCAGGGTATACCCAAGTATGTGAAATATGTGAAGGAGATTGTGGCAAATAAAAGGGGGCTGACAGAATATGAAATTGTTGCACTAACTGAAGAGTGCAGCTCCAGAATCCAAAATAGGTTGCCCACTAAACTGAAAGATTCGGGTAGCTTTACGATTCAGATCACTATAGGGCAGAGAATTCATGCGCGAGGATTGTGTGATCTAGGAGCTAGCATAAATCTGATGCCAACTTCTTTGTACAAAAAGCTGGGGTTGGGTAGTCCTAAACCTACTACCATCATCTTACAATTGACTGATAGACTGTAGCTAGGCCTGAGGGTGTTGTAGAGGATGTTTTAGTGCTAGTGGGGTCGTTGATATTCCCAGTAGATTTTGTTGTGCTGAATTTTGAGCTAGATCCTGATGTCCCATTCATCTTAGGAAGACCGTTCTTAGCGACTGGAGGGCCATGATAGATGTAGCAGCTGGGCAACTTACTATGCGATCATATGATAAAGTGGAGGTGTTCGACGTCTATAAAGCATTAAAGTTGCCAGCTATGTATGAGGAGTTGTCTGCCATAACTGTGATAGATCTTGAGGCAGAGGCTCGCTACATTGAATCTAAGGACCCTTTATAGCGAGTGTTAGTAGGGGATGATATTTAAGGGGATACTGAGGCACAAGAAATTGTGCAATTTCTTGAAATGGTACTTGTAGATATATCTGGAGATCTATGGGAGCCTTTGAATAGGGTGTTGGGTCCTCCACTCAAGCCCTCTATTGAAGAAGTACCTCAGTTGTAACTAAAAGCATTGCCAGCTCACCTCAGGTATGCATTTTTGGGTGAACATAAAACTTTACCGATTATTTTGTCTGCATCATTGTCTGATGCACAGGTGGAAGCAACATTAATCATCTTAAAGAAGAGGAAAGCAGCTCTGGGTTGACAAATGTCCGACATCCATGGGATTAGTCCCATGTTGTGCATGCATAAACTATATATGAAGGAAGGGTATAAGCCAAGTGCACAGCACCAACGGAAACTAAACCTATTGATGAAGAATGTGGTAAGAAAAGAGGTGATCAAGTGGTTGGATGCATGAATTGTGTACCCAATATCAGACAGTAAATGGGTAATTCCAGTATAGTGTGTGCCCAAGAAGGGCGGAATGACGGTGGTGACCAATGAGAAGAATGAGTTAATCCCCACAAGAACAGTGACTGGGTGGCCGATCTACATGGACTACAGAAGTTGAATGACCCCACTAGAAAGGACCATTATCCGGTACGTTTCATTGATTAAATGTTGGATAGGTTGGCTGGCCAGGAATATTATTATTTCCTTGATGGTTATTCAAGGTACAATTAGATCGTCATTGCACCAGAGGATCAGGAGAAGACTACATTCACATGTTCGTATGGCATGTATGCGTTCAAGCGTATGCCATTCGGCTTGTGCAATGCCCTAGCCACATTTAAGATATTTATGATGGCAATATTCCATGATATGGTGGAGGATTTTGTTGAAGTATTCATGGATGACTTCTCAGTGTTTGGTGAGTCTTTTGAACTTTGTTTGACTAATCTTTACAGAGTTCTTGCTAGGTGTGAAGAGACAAATCTGGTGCTAAACTGGGAGAAGTGTCACTTTCTGGTTAGAGAAGTAATTGTGTTGGGGTATAAGATCTCCAAAAGTGTGCTGGAAGTTGACAAAGCTAAAGTGGAAGTTATTGAGAAGTTGCCACCCCCCATCACACTGAAAGGAGTGAGAAGCTTCCTGGGATATGCTGGTTTCTATAGAAGGTTCATCAAGGACTTTTCTAAGACTGCAAGACCTATGTGCAGCATGTTAGACAAAGAGATAAAGTTTGGTTTTGATGAAAAGTGTTTGCAAGCATTTGAGTTGCTGAAGAAGAAGTTGATTGAAGCTCATATTCTTATTGCTAAGAATTGGGAGCTTCTATTTGAGCTTATGTGTGATGCCAGTGACATAGCAGTTGGGGCAGTACTTGGGCAGAGAAAAGAGAAGATGTTCCATTCTATCTACTATGTGAGGAAGACAGTTGATGCAGGTCAATCGAATTACATTGTGACTGAAAAAGAGATGCTAGCATTGGTGTTCGCGTTAATAAGTTCAGATCATATTTGGTGGGAACTAAGGTTATAGTCTATACGGATCATGCTGCAATCAGGTATTTTTTTCAATAAAAAAGATGCCAAGTCGAAGTTGATTTGGTGGATTCTGCTACTACAAGCGTTTGATCTAGAGATAAGGGACATGAAGGGAACTGAGAACTAGATAGTTGATCATCTATCCAGGCTGGAGGATTCATCTCATGTGAAGAATGAGAGGTAGATTCGTGAAGAGTTTCCTGCTGAGCAATTGCTTGCTTTGGACATTGCTCAAGTGCCTTGGTATGCTGATATTGTGAATTTTCTGGTGAGTGGTTTATTTCCACCTGGGGCCTCAACACATCAAAAGCAGAGACTGAAGTATGATGCACGCTTTTATATATGGGATTAGCTCTTCTTATTCAAGTAGGGACCTGATCAGATGATGCAAAAATGTATAGCTGAACAAGAGGCGACACAAGTGTTGGAGAGTTGTCACTCTTCACCATATGGTGGACACCACGGAAGCGAACGAACTGCGCATAAGGTACTGCAATCTGGTTTCTTTTGGCTACTCTGTTTAAAGATGCTGCTTTGTTTATGAAAGGTTGCGATTAGTGCCAAAGGATGGGCACCATTTTCAGAAGGCATGAGATGTCATTGAACAATATACTGGAGGTTGAGATCTTTGATGTCTGGGGGATAGACTTTATGGGACCATGCCCATCGTCCCGTGGTAATCAATACATCCTATTCGCGGTGGACTACGTGTCTAAGTGGGTGGAGGCAGTTGCACTACCATCCAATGATGCAAATGTGGTTGTGAAGTTCATCCGAAAACACATCTTCACCAGCTTCGAAACTCCAAGGGCTATGATCAGTGACGAAGGTAAGGACTTTATTAATAATTCAATGCATAATTTGTTAGCCAAATATGGGGTGAAACACAAGGTGGCTACAACATATCATCCCCAAACTAGTGGGCAGGTAGAAGTGTCTAATAGTGAGGTCAAACAGATCCTCCAGAAAACTGTGAATGCCCAAAGAAAAGACTAGGTGGACAAGCTAGATGATGCCTTGTGGGCATATCAGACTGCATACAAAACACCGATAGGGACTTCTCCTTATCGAATGGTGTTTTGAAAAGCTTGTCACCTACTAGTTAAATTGGAGCATAAGGCATATTGGGCGATAAAAAAACTGAATGTGGATGCTGAGTTAGTCGGTAGGAAGAGAATAACACAGCTGCATAAATTAGAGGAGTTTAGGCTTCACGCCTATGAGAACGCTAAGCAGTACAAAGAGAATACCAAGAGGTGGCATGACAAGCATATTGTGTCACACACCTTTGAGCCTGGTCAACTAGTGTTGTTGTTTAACTCAAGGTTGAAGTTATTTCCCGAAAAGCTTTGGTCTAAGTGGAATGGTCCTTTTGAAGTGGTGAGGATGATCCAACATGGTGCTGTGGAATTACGGAACAAGGATATGAGCACTAATTTCCTTGTGAATGGTCAGAGGGTCAAGCACTATTTCGGGAATGATGTGGATCGTGAGCTTGAAGCGCTAACATTAAATGACGTTTGAGTCATAAGATGGGTCGTGCCGCGATGTTAAAACAGGCGCTACACGTGAGGGAACCCGTGAACTCTTATAATAATTAGGATTTATTTGCTTTTGTTTAGTTATTTTAGTCCAAAACAAAAAAAAATGAAATAGTAAAAAAAATACAAAAATATTAGTCGTGTCACGACCAAAACTACGACGATGGATGGGAGGCAACCCATCGTGTTTTCACTAATGGGTTAAATGCTGAGAATATGTAGGAAGCAGAAATTTCCCCAAAGGCAACCCCATGGAGTTCGCTCGTCACGGAGGTGGGGTAAAATTTTGCATCGCCTGGTCCAATTTGAAGCAGAGAGGCCCGTGTAGATGGCGCATCGTGGAGGGGTCCCGATATTTCAATTTCGACAATAAGTTACTTTTACGTCATAAAGAAGATAGCTTCGGGATGGAGCCGCGTCACGCAAGAGGTATGTAATTTTGACTTCGGAGAAATTTTAATTAATTTCGCGAGAAAGAACACTCCGTGTCCACCCCGCGTCGCGCCTTTAGGTAACGATTTTTTGTTTTCATTAAATAAACGGGTTTTACCCGTTTCAGTTCCAAAACTTACCCGACCTCAACCCTATTAACCCTGATTTTCCCCCCAAATTCGCCCATTCACTCCCCTTCTTTTAAAATATATTCACCCCAATTTTCTCCTCTCCCCTTTTGACCATCTCAATTTTTCGCGCATACATCCGTAACACCGAGTCAAAGCTACGATTTCCCTTCTCTTCAACTTGTCTTCACCACTCCAGGTATGTGCTCGTGTGTCGTTCTTGCTATTCTAGGCATGATTGCAGGTGCATTGTTATGGGTTGTTGTTTGCTCGTATTTTGGGATTTGGGAGTGTAGTTTCTGTTTGTAATGTTAAATGTGTTCATGTTGGCTTAGAGGTGTTTTAAAGTCTGAGTAGATACACTTCTTGTTACTTGAATGGGGGTTGGGAGCGATTCTTGGTTGGCCGACATCATGTTTTTACTACTTGTATATGGGTTGTGGTGAAGTTGGTGAAATTGATGGGTGTTGTCTGGGGTTATGCTTGGTGTGTGCACTCGATTAGTGGGTATTGAGGAATCTTGTAAAACCTCACTGAAATCGTTGCTTGCATATTGGTGATTTCGAAGTTTTGAGTAGAATTACCTAATTGTTATGTACCTATGGATTTGGAGGATTTTTGGGGGTTGAAATTTCTGTTACATGCTCTTGCTTGAGTTTTTTGCTATTGTGATTGTTGTTTGATTGTGTCTATAAGCCATAAATTGGATAATGTGGCTAATAGTTATCGTGTGAATTCTTGAGTAGCACTACAAATTGTATGCCTTTAGTGTCAAATTCTTGAGTAGACATTATTTTGGCGATGAATGCGTAAATGGTAAGTGTTGCTAGGCAATATGGATGGGTGCTAGTGTGTATTCAGGGGTCTATATTAGTTGTGTGAAGTCTTGAGTATCACTACCTAATTGTTGTGTGGTTGTAACTGATATTGTGATGCCTATCTGGTTTGAGGAACGTGATGATTAGTTGAGTATGTTGTTGGTTATTTTTGGGAAGTCTGAGTACCTAAAATGAGATTGCATTGAACTAAGTGTGGGGTGGTGTGCGCACACTACTCATATGTTTTAATTACCATCTAGTAAATTGGGCTGAACTTTGTTCTATTTGGCAGGTAATTATATCAAGTTAACACAGACCAGGCAAAGAACTGGCCACGTCAAGCCATAAGAAACGTTCCCGAAGTGGGAATGTCCCACTCGCACCTGCAGTTCCAAAGGGGCAAACCAGGTGGTTCGAGGTTAAGTTGTAATCAAGCAAGGGAAGACATGGTATAAACCAGGTCTTACTTCTCTGATGTTTGTATTGATAGGGACAGCCTGGCGCGTGAGTTTCCACAGATTGCACATGGTCCAGGAGTTTTACGCCAACTAGGCGCCTGAGGCACGATCCCACTATGTGACGGTGCATGGAAGGAATGTACCCATCACCCCCACATGTATAAATGACATACTGGGTACACCACAGAACACAAACCCACTTATGCTGACAGGGTTGATCATACGCCCTCCATACCAGGCTATCCGACACACAATGTGCGGTCCACAGTCCATGGCTTAATGGACTAAGAATAGTGGGAAGAGATATCACCAATCTCTTCTCTACGCTCATATGTTTCGGGAGACACGTGTTTGGCTGAAGGTGGTTATGAACTGTTTGATACCAGGTCTACACTACACTAATATCACTCGTGATCGGGTGTGCCTGGTATATGACTTGATGACTAGCACGGAGTTGAACATCGAAGCCATTGTGAAATCTATTATGCGAAAGGATCGGGTGCACAGAGGGCACATGTATGCTTTTAGTGGTTTGATTACCAAGATGTGTCGTGCTGTAGGTGTTCATGAAGAACATTTGGACTATATGGCTCATCTATATCCAGTATCAGTGGACATTACTCGGACAAAGGGGCCTGACACTGAGTTTGGCCCAACTCTTACCACCGTTGAGCGCCATAGGAGGGATAAGCTTATTATGGCGAGGATGTATGGCTTAGAGATGTTATGCCATCAGAATGGCTACCATGCTTCTACTGATATGCAGTTGGGCGAGGTCGCGAGGTGTCACCCTCTGAATGACCATTCCAAGGCACTACTTGGCATTGGTCCTGAGTTTCGCGAGCCGATTGATAATATATTCAGACAGATGAGGAGCATGCGCGTACTAGCTCAAATGTGGATTCCGACTCGGAGGAGGAGATCGACCCCGCTTAGGCCGGTGATGAGGCCGAAGGGGGTGATGCGATGAAAGATTGATCAGGAAGTGTTTTCACCTTACCTCTTGATCTATTCTGATTTTTTTTGTAAAGCACTGGGGATAGTGCTATTGTATAAGTGTGGGGTGAGGGTGAAAACATCTGGTCTGTACATATATTTCTATTGTTGAACATTGCTAGAGTCTGTTTTCGTTTTTGTTTTGTTTTATTTTGGGTTGCTTGGAGGTTGTTTTTGGTTCTTTGGCCAAGGATAGTCCCTTTGAACCGTACAAAATACAAAAAAGATTTTGTCTTTATAGGATTGAGTTTGTAGTCGTAGTTGAGTCAAGCTGCCCAATGATAGATGGATGACGACCGTCTTAAGGGAAATTTCGTCATTGAGTCGTAGTTGGTTTGTGCTGAAGCTGAAAGTTTGAAAGGGATGTATGAAAAGCATGTGTGAAGTTGATATATGAATGTAGTGAATTTTTGTATATGACTTGAATGATGCAACTTAAGCTTAATTTGAACCTTGTGCATGATCTGATTGTGTTGCTTTGATTGATCCATTCTGAGTATAACTTGTGCCATGAGCGGTGACTTTTTGTGATATCCATGATTGCATCTGAGTCTAGAACTTGCCCAGGTTGTTATTGAAGCGAAATACAAGTGTTATTGTGTTTAAAAGATGATAATAGGCTTTCTTTGAATTGTCTTGTATTGTCGCATGTTCAGAAAGAATATCCCTAGTATAGCCCAATTGAGTCGTTTTTATCCTTGATTTTGTTCTAACCCACATAATTAAGCCAAATCTCTTTTATTGATACCGTTAGCTTTGATCCCAATCCCTAATGCACTATTTTATGAGGAAAAGTGAAAACAACGGAAAGAGTAAATTGGGTGGAAATGGTAGTTTGTTGGGGAAGAGTGAAAAAGGTAAAATGATACTCCATTAGTGTGAATTTGAGAGTGGCCCTGGTCCTTAGGACATTGTACACTTCGACTAGGAGAAACCCAAGTTGAAGGTGGCAAACTTAGTGAATACCTTAATGATGTCCCTGGCCCTAACAAGGGCATTGTGCACCTTAACTCGAGAGAAATCTCTAAGTCAAGGGTGGCTATTGTTAAGTGTAAAAAAAATAAAAAAAATAAAGGGGCGAGTAAGAAATAAAGGCAAGGCTGGTTGGTAACACTAGTGGAAACCTGTGAAGAAGGAGGGGGCTAACGAAAAGAAAAAGTTGTGAATGTAAGAAAAACGTTAAACATGGTGCATTAGGGAGGATAAGTCACTAATTTTATCCAAATGAATCCTCCCTTACCTTAAGCCTACATTACAACCAAAACAAGTCATGTTTGATTTTGAGCATTATACACTTTATTAGTAGAGATGTACATAATGGGCAAGCTTATGGTTCTCAATGCTTACATGTTTGATGTTGTTGCTGAGTGAGAGCATACTTTGTTTACAAAGTCCTTAAAGTATATTAAATTTGTTGAGTTGAGTGTGTGGATTGTTCTTTGGAGTGAGGAGCACTTGTTGTATGAAGGATATGTGATATGTAATGGTGCATAATGTTGTTAAATGTGTTGGTTGATAAAAGTTGTCAAGTCAATTACAAGGGTCATGCAGATTCTGAATGAAAACATGTTTGTGTTAATTGGTTACAGATCCTTAGAAGAAAGTAGCGGATGCACAAATACCATAGTAGTGAGTCTAGGTCTAGGAGTAGTTAGTAAGTTGTTCGAGGACAAACAAAGTTCTAAGTGTGGGGTAGTGATCTTAGGCATATTTATATGCCTAGAAATCTAATAATGCCCATATTTAAGCTAAGCTTGAATTCAATATGTGTTTGTTTATAGTCTTTTGTGTGTTTATGAGCTAACCAACATGATTAGTTGTGTAGGTGAGCGTAATTAGAGAAATGAGCTCGAAAATGGACAATGGGGAACAGAAAATATTCAAGGCAAAAAGAAGCAAGGAAGTAAGAGCAAGAAGAAATTATTAAGGCAATGTTGTATCCTCTCCGCGTCGCGGAGAGGGGGTCTTAAATTAATTCGCGGGAGTTGATATTAGGCAGAGCCCTCCGTGTACTCTCCACGTCGTGGAGAGGGAGTATAATTGTGGTCGCGAAATTCAGTTTTGAGGCGGAGTGGTCCGTGGCAAGTCCGCGTCACGGAGAAGAGAAAAGATTCGCAGAATGAAAGTTGAAGATGCCTCCGCGACGCGCCC